AATTAGCTGCTTAAAAAGTCAGCTGAAACTAGGGAAATCTTTTTTTTTCACTGCTTATACCTATAATTACGTTATAGTGTTGCCATGTGATAGTACAAAAAAATGCTAGTGTTTGCAAATTCATATCTTCACATCACTAAGCATGTTTCTCTGTTTTACATATACTATAAATATAATTTCAAATTTGTATGCAATAAAGTTTTCATTTAAACTCAATAGCATTACATAATGAACCACATTTTGATGATACTAGAAATTAATTCAATAACTTTGTTATTTCATAATAATTTAATTTCAACTAATTTTAAGTTCAATCATCATTACTACAATGAAACGTGCTACTTTAACCACAAAATATTAACAAAACTGCATAAAATATATACTCGTATGTTAGGGTGGGTCAAAACAAAACGAATATCTTTTTTCCGCTTGGTGCTCTGAAAAATAGGTTCTTAAACACCTTTACGAAAATCTCACCAAATATGAGATTGCTTGTTATCAGATAGAAAAAAGCATATCTCGCTTCTAACTACTTGAAAAATATCTCCTTTAATAGATTTTGTAGGAAATTGAAAGGTCTTCCACGATTTAACCTAACCGTTTAAGAGATATATACGGTTGAAGTTTGATTATTTTAATAATCATTTTTTTCTTATGTATTTTATAACTCAATAAAAAAAGTCATTAGAGATCGGAAAACTCATAGGCACTTTACTGTTTTACCTTTTTTTGACTTTTTTTGTAGAGAAAATAAAATTTTTCATGCGGAGGGCCTTCGCGTTGGAATTAGCTTATACTAGGAGAGACTTTCTTAGAGGTATCTAAGAACCTAGTTTTGAAAGTAGCAACCGAAAAACAATCGCTTTTTGAACCACCCTAATATATACAAATACATATGTTCATACATATATATTATATGAGGGTAAAATCTGTAGATTATAAAAAAAAAATTTTTGGACAAAAAAAATTAGTTTTGGTTTAAAAAGAGACATTTATATAAAAATTACCGAATGTGACGGTTTTTGAGACAAAATTTATTTTAACACACACACAAGAAAGCATGTTGGCGTTTAAGGCTTTTTTTTTAAACTCCAATAATGATCACAAAAATTTTTTTAAGTCGATTACTTTTAATTGGCCAGAAAGAGGACTCTCCACAGCTTCAAGAACAATAATCCAAAAAAGTTTACGAAATAAAAATATTAATTTGAAAATTTACTTTAAAACTGAGTGCGCCTCTAGATGTTAAAAAAAATTTTTTTTCGCTCCACCTTAATATATATTTATTATTCCTACATTCTCATACATCTATCTATATATCAACATTTGCAATGAATTTTGTTATATACCTAAAAAGTTTATACAGTTCAAACTAAAATTTCCTCTCCGCGCTTCTTCAATGGGGTGTAATTATAATTGCCGATAATCTTCAACATACATGCATTACTTTAATTATAATAATTTAGGACAAGTTTGCTTATTATAATAAATGGGAAGCCATTCCGACCAATTTATTATGAATACACATCCATATGTAACTACATGCGTGTGTGTGTGTGTGTAAATACACTTAGAATGTTTAAGCGCATTGCGGTAGCGTTAAGGTCCTGCGTAAGGAGCAAATTTGCAAACAAAACAACAAACAAGTAAGTAAACGTCTGCAGGCATACACACACACACATACATACACAGCAACATGCTTGCGACAGCACTTTGAGTGCAGTGTAAATTATCTCCAAATAAGTAGCAACGGAATTCGCCATTCGAGGGAAGCTTTAGCCAAAGAGTGAGTGTAGTGCAAGTGGGATGCGCTATTCAAATATACATACATACATATATAGGGTATGTACAAAGTCCATGTATTTGTATAACCATTAAGTTTATATACACATAGATCTATATTTGTATGTATGTATGCACTTCTGCCACCGTCTTGTAATTACCGATATGCAAGTTGCAGTTAAGCTGCCTCCTATACATATGTACACTCACATATACATATATTCGACATTGTTGTCCCTGTTATTGTTGTTGTGGCGTTGTCCTAAATTGTTGCAAACATTTCCTTGCATAATTTGCTGAATTAACGCGCGACCAACGCTCGCCAAACGGCAGCACAGTGCACACAGTCCATATACAACACGGCCTGCGGCCAATAGTTTCCAAGCCATTACCCGCCTCCCGCTGTATCCCGTCTGGCGCTGTCTTCCACGGGCAACAATTTTCATCTTCTGAATATTCATGCCTGTGGCGCTTTTGTGATTTAAACTTCTACTTTTTCCACAAACTACGCACACACACAAACACACAGACAGCCCACACATATTGCCTTTGCATGCAATAATCGCAGTTTTCTTGTTCTATCCGCTTTATAAGCTTTTGCTCTAATTATCGAACGTTTTTAAAATTATAATAAAATTATTTTTAATGTTGTGTGGCGCGTTATGCTTGAGTATTTAACGTTCACACAAATAGATACGTAGAGTAGTGGCAGCAACCGAAATTAGCGTTGATTTAAAATTTAATCACGTTTCATGAACGTTGGGGCAGAGAGAGCAGTGTATGCAGAAGAGGTTAACTTGTGCGCTTGTCTGCTTAGAACATTAAGCTAATTATGGGTTTCGACACGTTTTTAGTGCGAAATAATTTTGTGCGGAATTTGCGAATGAGTCAGGCGCTTGAATGGTGAAAAGTAGCAAAGAAAGGTAAAACACCGGAAAAATAAATGTATGCGTGAACGATGTTTGACATAGTAGATATAAAGTTCGAGCAATAAAAGTAGGAAATCATTGCTTTTCACTTAAAAGTAAGGGGTTTGAATAAATCGAGGACGACAATATTAAGAAGCACAATGTTTGGTGTTGTTCTAGGTTAAATGTATGGCAAATGGCATAAATATTGAATGTATAAGAAAGGTATGACAGATCGATCACTTCGATAACAACAAAAATTTATAAATTCACCGTTACGCATAAACTATGTATATGATCTTATACATACATTTATAATTAATAATTCAGCCAAATCAGTTGACTTTATATTTTACATCTCGAATCTTGTTTAGTTTTAAGTCGACTTTTTTTTTACAAATTTATTACTTAAATATCTGGTTTTATAATATTTGAAAAATATACCAATTGGCATATAAGTATTAAATAAGCATGATGTTATTGTAAAGCTATGTGATGAACTAGATTTCGTTGAAAAATACATTTATGTTGGTTTAGTCTTCCTTTCTTCTACGCATACTTAGCAGAGATACTACAATATACTTTGGTTTTTGTTAATGTGGTTTTTTACTTATATGATATATACATACTGTTATATAATATTATATTAACGCCAATTTTATTTGAACGAATTGCTTATAAGTAAAATCATTTGAAAATATGTCTGTAAGAGAGATTGACAAAACTGAATTAAGAATTCGGCCAGTCGAGAGCACTCAAAATGGCCCTAACTTTTACAATTTATTCTGTGAGTATAGAAACAACAACTAAACTTCACTATTTCATTACTATTTTATTTTAAGTATATTTATTTTGGGATTCTGATACAAAATAGCGGCTACTGGGTCGATCTTCAAAATCATTCCTTCTAGCGTCCCTCGACGGGCGACGCTGATGCTAGGAACTCGTGGAATTAAACAAAATAAAAGACGAGATCGTAATTTACATAAGACTTGCTAATAAATTATATACGTTTTCAGCCTTACATATTTCATAATTATTTTCACAAATAGGCGGACTTGTAAAAAGTTAAAATTTTTGCCCGAAAACTATATTAATTAAAAGCAAATTATTAATAAAATAAGAAAAAACGTTAACTTCGGTAACGTTGAAACAAATAAAAAAAAATTTTCATACACGGACTTGATTTGGTTAGGTCAGTTAGTAAGGCAACTGTAAGCTACAGTGGTTCGATTTAAAAAATTTGTTTGGATATTATAGCGTTGTCTTAGACAATAACTCATGCCGAATTTCGTGAAGATATCTTGAAAAATAGAAAATTTTTCCATACAATGACTTGTTTTGGAGCGTTCAGTTTGTATGGCAGCTATATGCTATAGTAGTCCGATATTAGAAGTTTTCACAAATGAGATGCTGCTTGGGAAGTAAAAGAGGTGTTCAATATTTAAGATCTATATCTCAAAAACTTGGGAACTAGTTCATATATATATGAATAGACAGACAGACTTGGCAAAATCAACTCACCTCGTCGCGTTGATCATTTATAAATATACTAGATGGTATAAGATCTTAGAAAGCTTACTTCGTGGAAAACTTCATATACCCTATCCAGGGAACAAAAGTTTACCATAATAGAAAGGGTATTCTTAGATAATATTAATGTGAAAGCTATAGTTAAAATTTCAATTGGATCCGTACGAAAGTCTTCGATTACCATTGTCGACAGAATTAAAAAATACAGTTTCAAGCAAAATGTTCAAAAAATTTTCTTGCTAAAGCTGACTAAACCAAGCGCTTCGCCATTACAATGAATTGTACAGAGAAAAAATCGGTTTTTCAGAACTCTGCAAATTTATTAATATTGTAGGACCCTAAAGGATACTTTAAGCAAAAATATTGATTTTAGGAAAATCGCTTACTGGTCTAATCGTTTGACTAAAGTGATAATCTGAGCATATCACTATCAATTATATCTGACAATCTTACAAGCAAAACACCACGTTGAACGTTAAAAAAATCTAAAAGAACACATCGTATTGTTCCCACTAAATTATATATAATTAATGGGCCGCCTTTATATATTGCCACAAATACATTTACAGCAAAAAAAATTAAAATAATTCGACTTTAATTTTTTTACAAAAAAAATTCATATAGCAGAAGTCCTTGCGCAATATGAACTCATCATTATTTTCTTATCAATATTTAAATAATCTTTCATTTAATATATTAAAATAATTAATTAATTAATTAAAAAATCTTAATATTGCTTCGCACTTACTTATAAGCTATAAGCAAAATTTTGCTCACCTGATTTGCCGACGGGTAATTGTAACCAAACTGCGTGTAGGCGGCCATTTCTTAATTCTTGCAACACGATTCTATTGTTTTTGTTGTTGTTTTCTCGCTGCTCTTGCCGCTAAAGCAGCTTTTATTTGAAACACACTGTTAGCAAAAGCTATACGCAAGTTATTGGGCACTGTTATTAACAGCAACGACAATTGTTTGTGGCAACAGTTGTTGCACGAAATGTTCGCCAACAAAAAATCAAGTAGCCACAGGACATTCACGGGCAAACACACACATTTAAATGTGTCCCAAGCGACAGTCGGCGCTGCGCTAAGGATACTTGCACGTTGGATGCTGCCTAGTGGTGCAAACAACGGACACCCACACACTCGCACCCGTACCCCCCTTGTGGCCTGAACGCGCCCACCGGATGTGGTGTCGACGTCGACGTCGCTGCGCTGCTTTTGTGTATAAAAGCACTTTTTCGTGCGGCACAGGATTCTGCTGTCAACTCGTGCACACCCGCACTGTTGTTGTTGTTGCTGCTGCCTTATATGGCTAGTCAATATAGTCGCTTGGTGTGGCTGGAAATTGGTAAAACAAATTGTCAAGCATTTGTGTTAATGTCAGCGGGAAATGTTTTCAGCTTCACTCTTTGGCGACTTTTTCGCAGCGATTTTTTATTTACATATTTTTGTATTATTACATGCACATACATGCATACATATGTATATATAAGCTTTGTTTATTTGTTTGCTCCTCAACTTGTTTCCTGTTCCGCTGTGAACGCTTTTTTCAAGTTTCGTGCTTTACAAATATTTTCTTCGTTTTTTATTTCGGGAATACTATTTAGTTCACACGCTTTGTGGGTGTAGCATGCAACGTATGCACATACTTATGTATGTATGTGTGCTGTGCAGCGGTAGGTGTAGTGCTGATTTTCAGGGATTTGTTTGCTGTGTTGCCCTCGCCTTTATTGTTATAGCTTTATTGTTGTTTCTATTGTTGTTGCATATCCTTTTTGACGGTTTTATGATTATTTGTTTACTGCTTTGCTGTGCTTTCTTCGTTATTTACTTGTCGTTGGTTCTTCAGTTGCTCGCGCGATTTCAGCGCGTCTGTAGTGTTGTTGTTTTTGTTTTTATAACAGTTGTTGCTTGTTTAAGCTGTGGCATAAATGTAAAACATGCCGTAATAAACGTTTTATTCGCTTGACGATTGCTTATTCTGTGTATCAGTGACTTCATTACAGCATTAATGTTATTGTTGTTGTTTAATTTTTTGCATTTCATTATTTTAAATTGCTGACGATCTAGCATGTGGCTTTCAAAATACAAAAACTGAATTAAATTAGCACGGCTTAGAGTAACGTTTTTATATCTCTTCCCTTTCATCTAGAATCAATTATCCAATTTAGTTGCCTAATTAATTTTACTTAAGTTTGCTGCGTTCGAAAATTTTCCGTTGTGTTTTTGGCATTATTTCCATACGTTAGTACATGTATGTGTAGCACTGTGAGTTTTTTTTATAAATATTAAATATTTTTATCTGCTCATTATTGTTCTCCAACCGCTCAAAATTTGTTTAGCTTGATCCAAAAACTGTTTTCTAAATTCAAATAATTTTTGTAAATTTATGCTCTCCACACTTCATAAACAACGTTTTTTACAGTCAATAATTTTATAGGAATATATTATATTTTGGACTGCGTTTACTGGCTGTCTTTGATGATATCAAATCGTGAAATTTTATTTATTTTTTTATATATTTTTTTATTTATTTTTTTATTTACTTGTGTATTATTACTTTTACCGTATTTAAATGCCCAACAATGTTTGTTGTTGCGTTCTCTTTTAATTTTTTCTTTATTTCTTGCTGATTATTATTTCTTCTTATTTCTTATTTCGTCTTTATTACTGAATTTTCGGTCTTTTGCACATTCAAAGTTTAGCTTTATTTTGAGTGAAAACTCGTTTCACAACCTGTTCTCTCGCATTGTGCTGTCTGTCACAGTATCTATCAAATATTTTTTGTTGTTACAAATTACTGTTTATATTTAATTTGTTAATCCGAATTTTTTATTTAACACTTTTTCTCAATAACATTTTACAGCTATTTAGGTCCAAACAGTTTTCATCACTAATCCACTTTTTTCGAAGTTTTGCAATCACGAATTTCTTACATAAAGAAGCGCAATCTCACGATGCACACCAATTCGCGTTCGAACACAAACTAGTCGCACGCATCCAACGGTTCATACGACATTTTTCCAACATAACTGTGGCACTGCTTCGCAAGTACAACAACTACAATATTTGTGATGTGTTTTTTTTATTAAATGACTGCAAGCTAACTGAAATCATTTTCTCGGTTGACTGCAACGCAGTAGAGTGCAAGAGCTGGCTATACCAGGCAATCTTACTCACCCATTTTTACTCACTGGCTGTTAACGGAATATCAGCGCACAACAACAGCTTAGTGGTGCGTCTGCTGATATGGCTACCCAGCGACGGTGACAGCAAGAGCACAACAGCAGCAACGCTCTCCAAAAATAAATGGGCAACGCCTACTGAGCTGAGCGCACAACACCAGCGAGTAACTGGCTGCCAGCGAGTGATACAACGAGTGCTGTTGGTGCTGCAAGTACACGAATATACGTGTGTGTGGAATTGCATTGCAAGCAGCCGCTGACGTTGCTGCAACTCAGGTCTACACTGTTGCACGGCTGGTCAAATGCTCGTAGAATGATTATGGCCGACTAGCGCATTTCGCACAGCCCCACTCACATCCCCTTCGCGCTTTTCGCATGTCGGCGACCATTTCGTATGTGGCTTTCGCTGATTTATGCTGCAAAATGCAGTGTTGCCAACAGTAATTGTATTTGAATTTTATGGCGACTGCTGCGTTGCACCCTTCACTCCTCACTTATGTGTATATAAACGCCTGCAACTCAAGCAAAATTAAGGGGCACGAAGCCATAAAAATCCATAGCTTACGAATATAGCGGCGAGTACATAGAATAGTAAATGTTGGTCACAGAGGGTGGGTTGCGGAGGGTTTAGGCGGCCTATATGTGGGATTTGCCCACCTTTGCATGTTCAAATAAGGTTGTTTGCGTCTATTTTGCCATTTTGTTTTACCTATGTTTTTATTAGTACAAATACATATAATATATTTTTATCAATTGTAGGCGAAATTTCTCTTATTCGATTTGCAATTTTGTTTTCACTTCTTTTGTGTATTTTAGAAATATTTTTAATTGTTGCATGTTTTGTGTGCTCGCCGACTTTTAATTTTGCTATACATACACACATACACACGTATATAGAAATATCGGTTTGTATGCGCATACACACATGTGCTAGGAGTGGTTTCATTTTGTTGATTTTAGCGGCGAACATCTTCACACAAGCAACTAGGCACAAATAATATTTATATACAAAAAAACAAAAAAAATCAAAAGAAAATCATTATAAACACTCGTGGAAACAAACTTGTGTTGCTAAATTAGAAAAAATCGCAAACATGATATGTACATAAAATCAATAAATAAATTGCACACATTTGATTGATGGAATTTTTATTGTGATTGTAATTTAATTTATGTTTTTAATTGCAATATTTGTATGTATTTTTTTTATTAATCAAACTTTTGATAGTCCAACCTTGTATTGTATATATGTAAAAATATACATACATATATGATATATTAGTATGTTTATATATGGGCAGTAATTTATGGCCTTCACGAGTGAAGTGCAGGCGCCAAACCCCAATAATTCTATAAAAAATTTCAATTAGCTTCATGTTCGCGTGTTCTTTATGTGCTTTAAGCCATTTTCATACCTACATGTACATATGCATATTTATATATGCCTCACGTTCACGGTATCCGTTTCTAAATTTCTTTGACGTTTCCTTAACCGACATAGATTTTCCAAAAATATTTTTACAACAAGGGCTGTGAATAATGCATTAAAAAATAATGTAATTAACATTTAAAAACTTAATTAAAAATAATTTTTAAATTACTAAGCCCGAATACCGTGTTAAAAAATTACAAATAAATTTATAATCCCAAATATCGGAAATAGGAAAAAAGTTATTCCAAAGTTTATAATTAAATATTAAAAAAAAAGAATTGTTTCAGAATTTTCACACTTTTCATGTTCGCGTATTTAGTGTTGGTTACCATCTTGGTGATCTTTTGGAAAGTAAATTTAATTTTTAATAAAATATCTACACAGTTTAGAACTTTTTGTTTGATACATACAAATATACTTGTACATATGCACATGTATAAATATTTCCTATTTTACCGTTTTCATTTCAGCTTTTAACTAAAAAAAAAATTATTATTTTTAATTAAAAAAATATTTTCTAATTCCGATTTCAATAAAATTTTTTTTTAAAACTTAATTATTAATGCAACATTTTTTAAATAAAAAAATCGCAACCTTGTATATGAGAATAAAATTTCAGAAGTAATATAATTTCATTTTGAAGATACATAAAATTGGCAAATGTAAATTCTTAATTATACAACTTTTTAAATAATTATGGTGTCCGAATTCTCACCAAAGCTACAGATTTATATACAATATATATTTTCTTTAGATTTTTTGCAATAAATTCTAGAAAACAGATTCTTGAGTATATTTTAAAAATAATGTTTTTCAAATTAGTCTGAAAGTACGGAATGCCACAGATTATAACACAAAAATTAATAATAAATTATGATATCTCGAATAAACAAGCATGCCACTTTCAATTTTGCTTTTGAGCATGAACATTAGAGATATTTAATATATGATTATATATAAAAAGAACATGTAACATAAAAATATTGCCACGGGACTTTGAAGAGAAATCATTAGGATAAATTAGTAAAATTTTAACAAAAATACTAAAAATTATTTGCGATCAAATTTCAAGGTTTTTTGACCCAGAGATCGACTCTGCTTTCTTAATGCTGTTTCCTGTCTTTTGTCTAGTGTTTCACCATGAGCATAGACATCAAACCTCTTCTTGGTATTTTTTTCATCAAAAGAGGGAAAATTCTTCATATATTTTTGTTTTTAAATACAAAATATTAAAAAAGTTAAATACGTGGTTTCGAAAACTAGTTCGAACTATAAAACATATAAATTCAATTAGGTTCTCAATTAATATATCAGGGAAAAGATTTGAACTTTTCAAGCAATTAAGTAAATATATTACGTTGCCCACTATTACTATCTCTTTAAGTAGAAGTTTAAAATGGCTTAGAAATGTCCAAATACAAATCTGATCAAAATTGTTTGTATGTACGAAAATTATAAAAGGGTTGAGTTGAAAATATGTATTTCAAATTATTTTTTCATTCGAAAATAATCAATTTAACTGTTAGAACTTTGATCGGTCAGTTTGTGTGGCTCATATATGCTATAGTGATCCGATCTGAAACATTTCTTTGTAGATTGCATCATTGCCATGCCAAATTTCAAGAATATACCTCGTTAAATGAAAAAACTTTCTATTCAAGCACTTAATTCCGAACGTTCTGTGTGTTTGGCAGCTATATGCAATATTGGTGCGATATCGGCCTTTCCGGCAGCTTATTAGTAAGAAAAGGACGCGTGTAGAATTTCAGATCGATACCTCAAAAACTGAGCGACTAGTTCGCATCTAAACAAACAGACGGACGGACGGATGGACAGACAAACGGACATGATTAAATCGACTACGCTCGTCACGCTGATCATTTATATATGGTATATACTTTATACCATAGATCATAATGTCAACATATAAATAGTCGACTAATGTTATATTTAATTTCACTTCCAGTCAAGTCATTTGGCTATTAGAGTATAAATATACTTGTATTTATCAATCGCATTGATTACAATTTATAATAATTAACTCAATAATACGCTTATAAGTCCATACATGTGTACATATATACCTACATACATATGTACCATGTATTCAACAGTTTCCAGCAACTAAAATTAAAAATACCATATGAAGATACACTAATTTCCAATTTCATACTCAAACCCAAAAATCCTTCACATAATAAGCATCAGAGTGTGTGGGAGTGACTACATATACATAGAAACATATAGGCATATACATGCATATGTACTTAAATACAAGTATATAAATCCATATCTAATGCGAGTGCTAATTGTGCGTACAGCCATAGTTTGAAGAATCTGCATGGCGAGTGCGCCACTTAAATGCGGATCACACACAAAACGAGAGAATCGCTACGCAGATTCTTGTAAACAAATAGCTCCAATTTCCAACTGTTGAATTTTCCATGCCTCACAACATGCACCGTTATGTAGCATCTGTTTTACGCGCGGTGATTTATTGGAATTTGAGCTCGACTAAAGCAGCATTTGTTTTTTTTTTTTTAGCAGGAATTCGGTGTAAAGTGAGATTTTATAAAACACCAAATACTTAACGAACTCATTGCTGTTGTTGTTGCCTATGATGAGCATTTAAAAAGTGGGTGTTAACTTGTAGTAATTTATTATGTTTCGTCTAAGTTAGTGCATAATTTTGAGAGCATAGCACTTCCAATAGTGACTACTCACTTGAGAATTCGAGCGTACTAATAGAGTGCGACACTTGATGGCGCCAGCGGAGTGAAGCTGTGCAAGGTTTGGGGTATAAGCATTTATCTTGTAGGCACAGCACATGCCAGGATACTTAAATATTTATGAATATTTGTAGCAGGACTATGGAGATCGGTGTATATTCATGTTTAAAATTAATATTTAATTCGATCTTATTGGTTGAACTGAGGTTTTTAGGTTTATATTTATTATATTTATTTATTAATATTATAATTATGTTATAATTAAGCAGCAGGGTGCATTTGATGGGTGGCAACAGCAAATAAAAAAATTAAATTAATAAAAAATAATAATTTGCAAAACTAATGATTAAAAGCTTTCTTTCTTCTTTTTTCTATAAAAATAAGTAGAAGACAAAAAGATTAAAACTTTTCATGTATCTGCATCTGTGCTTTCACATACTTACATTATAACTACTATATTCATATTCATTAAGCTTTTAGTTTAAGCACTAGTACTCTGAAGTACCACTGCTTCGTTCATTATACTAGGTATTCAAAAATGTATTATATTTCATGCAAAAACAAACGTTTATCAAAAGACAAATTTCGATTATACTGCGATATATGAAAAAACAAATTTTAATTTAGTAGTGTTTCAGATTTTTTTAGATGATTGGAAGAAGTTCGATGCAGGAGTTCATAAATTTGAGCATGTGCATCATACCATAAAGGGTTATGTCAGGCAAAGATACTCAAAAAATCAAATTTGTGTGCCTTAAAGTGGACTTTCATTTAGTTAAACTTTCTTAAAACGTTTTCAAGTCCAATCCGTTCTAAGCCAGTCAGTCAGTTTCAGAATATAAAACTTCAACTGTATTTTTCAAATCGGGTGACGATGGTACGATGGCCGGAAAACATTTAGTAAACTATTATATATACGGGTTTTTGTTATTAAAGGAATAATTTACTGTACGTATTTTCGGTAGAAAATTTTGCAAAAATTGTCAAAGGTAG